CGCTCAGGGGTTTTACAGCTATGGCATTCATTGTTGTTGCCGCTTGTTAACCCAGACGCAGCCCGTAAGGTATTTGTTGTGCTGCTTGCCTGGCTGTTGCCTGCTGCCTGCTGGCTGCTGCCTTCAAATGAAGCCAAAAACGTTGATGCTGTGTTTTTGCTTTTGCTTTGTGCCTGGCTGTTTATATAATAGTTGACTTTTTCACAGGTTTTCATAGCAGCAATCAAGGCGCGCCAGCTACAAAGCGTTTTCATTTGGCAGTCTGGCGGTCTGGCGGTGTAGCAGGCAGCCCCGTTTCCTTTTCCCTATTGCCATTAAACACCACGTTGCTTTGCGAGTACGTTTCATTCAATTTCAATTTATACTTGTGTTGTTCTTGTTGTTATTGTTATTGTTGGCGTTGTTGTTGCTGCTGCTTTGCAGCACTCCAGCTGCAATTTTAGCTACTCCTCTCTTTATTTCTGTTAATTTCTTTTACGTTTTTATTATTTCATGCGCTTTGACGCGCCTCTCGAGGCATCATCGTCTGACTGCCTTGGCAATTTTATCTTTTAATTAAAACTGGCGATATGAGACTGCGAACGTGGACTTTCCCACAGATACGTATACATATGTACGCTTTCGAGTACTACATAGGTGCATTAATTAAGCGTTTTATTTGCAAAAAAAGAAAGAAAAAAAGGCACTTCCAAAAAGTTAAATAAAAACGTGTAAGCCTCAGCATTTGTTTTATTTGCCGGCTCGCCCAAAATGGATTCCATGGGCTCGGTTTGTCTGCCGGAAGTGTTGGTCGTGCATGTGACGGCTGCTTTCCACTCATTTTGCGCAATTAAGTGCCACGAATTGGTCGTGTGGGGCAGCCTGCTCCCGTTTCCTGCTACAGCAGGTCCAGCAAAAAGGCTAATTGACTTTAAGCTTTTTGGCTTTTATGTGTGTATGTCAAATAGGCGCTGCCCCGACAGCTGCCGCTCTTCCTCTATTCCTCTGTAATGTATGTGGGGAGGCAGGCGAGGTGGGGGCGTAGGTCGTGGCCCTACAAATTGTCTGCCTTTGTTGTGATTGGCTAAACTAAATATTGTGTTGCCGCCAACGATCGCAAAACCTTTTCAAATTTAAACACACTCTCATTTCTCTCCAGGCAATAATTTAATAAACAAACTTTGATTCTTTAATGAAATCAATTAAGCTTTGGTCAACAAAAGAGCAATGAGCAAAATAGTGGAAATCAAATACTAATTGCACGTTTCCAATACTTTCAGAGATCTAATTTTAATTGTCATTTTTATCGTTAACACAATATTGTTTATATACTTCCCTATACTGTATATACATATAACTATGAAAAACGAGACATTTGTTTTTATTTATTTACTTATTTCATCAACTTGTTTGTTGCAGTGGTGTAAAATAAAACGAAAACAAAAAGAAAATCAATAAAATATAGAACTCAAACTAAATAAACCAAAAGAAATAAAAAAGCCTTTAAAAATGATAAAAATATCTAATAACGAATCCGACACGGTGGGGGAATTTTATTTGCCAAACGGCCAGCTATGCCCCGATTCACAGCAGAGAGTAGTCAGATACGTTATTATCTTAAATTAGTTGCTTGAACACAATTATTGTTAATTAATATTATAAAACAATAAATATTCCACGGTTCTTGGAAAAATCTCTTAGCTCTTCCAATTTCGTTTTTCTAGAGAGCAAAAGTCCTTTTCTTTAATCTTAATCATTAAATTTGTCTGCTAATAAAATTTCTTTAAATGTTATTGCTAAAGAAATATGTTAAGCTATCAAGCGTTTACTGTATAGCTTTAAAATAATATATTAACGTTCTCTCCTTTCCTTATACTCTTTGCAGGTAAGCCAAGATGTGGAATGAAGTCTTCAATTCCACGCCCTTCCGCTAATTGCCTTTCACACCTCCATGTTCTAGTCGCAGCCAAATTGTAAGTTACAAAGTGGTAGCATTTATACGATTAATATATATGTACATATGTACATTATTTTGCACACAACCGCTGTCATTATGTATGTCTCTTGATCCAAAGAGACGGGCTATATGTTTGCTGGTCGAGTCAACAGGCGTGCCAAAGAGCGGGCATGTCAAAAATAAAATACTCGCACACAAACAATCGCACATGCATACATATAGAAAGATATGTATGAGTGTTCAGTTATAAATAATTTCTGGCAAAAAATCAGCAATATTTTCCGTTGATCTCCAAGTATAGAGCGTTGGCTGAATGCCAAACAAAAAACATTTCGAGCGGCCTGCGCACAACAAATCGCGCATACGCCATGTATACACCATCACTTATGTGTGTGTGAGTGAGTGTATTGTGGCGATTATTGTTGTATTAGTAGACATACTCTGGAGCATTTTGTTGGTGCTGGTCAGTGAGTGCGACGGCTCTTAAATGCAAAGAGAAGCGAGAAAAGAGTGCCTGAAAATCGTTCATCTTCGTGTAATAAAAATAAACAAAAGGTGAAGGATGAAAAGATTATTGTTGTTTATTTATTAGTTGTATGTACATATATTTATGTTTGTTTAGCTGCGTGTCGGCATAATTTATGTTGCATTTGGTCGACGGGCGCAAAAGGCAATACTTTGTACACGTTTTTCTTGCTTTTCTTGCTTTTCTTGCTTAACTTGCCTTGCTTTTCGAAGTCACTAAATCAGAGGCTGGCCAAAGCTGCCAAATTCTTTGTCATTTTCACTTTTTCCCAAGCATTTTCTTCGATGTTTCTATATACTTGTATGTATGTATGTGTGTACTATATGAGTGTGGAAGTTGGGGGCGAAGTGGTTGCTGTCTCTGTATGGCTCATTAATTTGTGTCTAATTAGTTTTGATTTTTATTTCAATTGTGCGCAAAATATTTTTGTTCTTTCACATGAACGACGAACAAGGACGTGACTTTGGCAAAGAACTTGGGCAGCCATAGATCAAAGCAGCGAGCATGTTGACATTGTGAAGAAAAGAAATAAAAATGACAGCAAATATATCGAAATCGTAAATAAATATTGAGAATTAGTTGGCCAGAGTCATGCTATTCTAGAATTTCCATTTACAGCTGCTGCCGCGAAACTGTGAGAAATTGCCAACTGTCCGACATTTTAAGCGCTTTTCAATTACACACCCACAGACAGATTTTCACACCCACACAATATACTATGTGGGGCCGATGTCGACACGGCCGCAAAAATATACAGTTCTTGACCAAATTTGGCAAAGAAGCGCGCGACTTGCACGCGATTCGCTCTTGGCCGTGCAATAAACACACCAAGTGTGCAAAAACAATAACAAAAAACCATTTGGCAACTACGTTGCTATTGCTGTTGTTGTCTTTGCCTTTGTTGGCCATGTCGTTGGACTTTTAGGGCTCAGACAGCTTGGCATAATGGTGCGCGCACGCCAGCCCGTTGGCCAAAGAGGCAGGCGCATTTTTTTTTCCTCTAGAGTTTTTGCCTGTTGCAGCGCTACAATGCCTTTCGACTTTCCTTTTCTGGCTTGTTTTTTTTTTTTGCTCAGTTTTTCAGTGCCTTCTTTACATTGGCAACATGCCAAAAGTTTTCACATTCAACTTACATGGCAGGCGGGCCAGTCAGAACTTCGACTGTGCCTGACATGACAAGGAACGGGCGACGGTTCATTCTTTGTTGATGGCTCTGTTGTTATTTGGCGTTGGTTCGAATCAGGCGTTGCTGGTTGTTCGTTGTTGGTTTAATGGCCAACATATTTAAGTTTCCTCTTGCATGTTACACTTCATATTTTGAAGGCGCATGCGAAAATCTTCAATTGAATGACGGACGACAGCCGCAGCACGAAATTGCGCATAAATGATGGATGGATGGATGGATCGAGTGCACGGCGTCATTCATTCAGTGGGCCATTTCAATGATTTGGCAAAGTGAGAAGGAACTCGCATTGAAAACAGGAAATTGCAATAAATTTCCTCAAGCTTGAGCTATACAGATGATGCGTCAAGACTAATGCACATTTCTAGGCAGTTATTGTACACAAAGTTGGCTCGTTTCTCGTCGATATATTCAATATGTAAATAATACTAAACCTTTATTTAGTTTTTATTGTTGAAATTTGAACAAATTCAATATAAAACGCATTTAAAGTAATTCAACAATTCATATTCCAAGACCCAAAAAGCTAGCGCTGTTTAAAGCGGTTTTCAAAAGCATGGAAACTAAAACTGCAGTTAATCCATATTATTTAATATAAAAAACGCTAAGCACTGCTAAAAAATATATTATTTGCTGGATTAATTTTCAATTATCGAAAGTTGTAAACAAAAATTGGTGCTACAAAAGGGTAATCATAAGCTATAAATTATTGAAAACTTTGCATTAATTCTAGTTGATTTTTATTTTGTATCTATGAGAGAATACAGGTTTCGTTTAAACTAACTTTCAACTAACTTCTTTAATGCAATTACAAGTATTAAATAATAGTATTCGATCTATCTTAAACCCCTATTTTTTTAGGTTCATACACGAATCGAATATTTTTATTTATTTTGTTTTCCACAATTTCCACAATGAGACACAAATAATATTTACTTTTTTTTTTGCTTGTTGCTTTCTTCCAAATAAATGACACACACAGCAGATTTCGGTTTTAAAACATTTATGTATTTTATTAGTTCGTTATCATTTTCGTTAAATAATTTATTATTTATTTCATTGTTCAGCTCTAACTACATGTATTCGCACCTTTCTCACGCTCCATCGCTTGAAATCGTAAAGTCTTAGCTGCTACATATGTATATGCATGCAATTATGTATATAGTATGTATATATTTAGTAAATATGTATACTTGTAACTAAAACTATTATTGTTCGAATGTATGCGTTAATAATTCATAAAATGTTCGTTATTCCTTTTTTAGTTGTAAATGTTTAATTATGCATATGCGTAATGTTTTTGTTTCGGTTAATTACATTTTGAATCGGTTTTGATATTTGAGCTTAGTGTCATGCATACGAGTATACAAATTGCCGGCTTTTATTTAAGATGTAAACAGAAGCATAAACACAGAGTATTAATTGCTGAAATGTTAGCCAAGCACTTTGCAGCACAAACTTTTAATTGTGAAATTCCTTAGAAATTGTAATTTAGCCCGCTCCCAAATGCAAACATGCGTAGGGTTGCAATTAAATGAATATCAAATCTTTGTGGCAAAAACTTTGCACACATCAATATACGAGTACATATCTACTCGTAAATATAAGCCTGTATGTATGTGTGCATGTGTGTTTCTAGCGAATTTTGATCAAAACTTAAATTTCCTGCCCGCACTTGAGCACACGCAGGCCAGCACTCAGAGCAAGTGGTTTGAGGGTTCCTTGCGAAAAATGTAACCACACTTTGAAGTTTTTCCTGCTCAGCACACGCTGTCAATTTAAATGCTTTTTGGGGGAGTGGGAAGAGGTAGCCGACCCGCCATCCCAAATGGCCAAGCCTATTGTGAAAGCTCACATACAGTCGCAGTCGCAGTCGTAGCGAACGGGGTCAAGTGTGTATATTTCACTGTTCAAGTGCTGTCCATGGTCGGTCGACCGAAGCTCAAAAGAAAACAATAAACTGTGCGGTGTGCCAAAACAAAAAAAAAAAATGAAAGGGGCAAGAGACTGAATCAAAAAAAAAAAAAAAGGAAAAGGCGAGTAAGTGTTCACGACTAGAAATCAATAAAAAGTAAAGCCATTCGCCACGCCTCAACGCCGCAGCCAGTGAGTGCTTGCCAGCCATTACATTGGCCAATCGACACGCACACACTCACACACACATATATATATATTTATAGCCAACATATGACTGCATTAGGCAAGCTAATGTAAGCATTTTAAGTACTTTAAGTACTTATGCCCGAGAGCTCGAGGCTTCGATGTTAATGCGCTTTTCAAGCGCAGCCGAAAAGTAGGCAACAGAAATTGTTCGCTCTCGTTGGGAGCCAGAGACGACTATACTTGTATCGTTGTGGTTTAAAAAGTTTGCTGTGCGGCTGTTGAAATTAATTACATAGTTATTTATAATAAACATATACATACATACTCTTGTATACATGTATGTATATATGTATGTACCTTTATCTGCCACACAGCATAAAAGCCACAAAAGCAGCAGTAATGGCAATAACAATGGCTGGGCTGGGCTGTACGGCTTAATTATAAAATGAAATACGCGCCCCTGCTGTGGGTGTGGCAGATAAACAAAATCATTTTTAAATGAATGCGTTTTGCGCGCTTCGGTCCGTTATTCTTTTTTACTCGTCGCCGCCTGCTATTTTTTGCATAACTTTGTGCTTAAACTTTTGTTCATTTGCATCTTTTACAATTCGCTGTGCGATTTTTTGCTCTCTGCGCCTTCAACGCGGTTTATTGTTGAGTCAACTTTCATTGTTGTATGTCTGGGTGTGTGTATTGGTGTGCTGGTGTGTTTGTGTGTGTATACTATGCATTCATGACAGAGCTCCCAAGACTACCGTTACTAATTAGCGCGCAACCTAGTTTAACAGTTCTTAGTTCTGCGACGCCGTTGTTGTAGCTTCTGCTGTGGCCGCGACTGCCACGACGGCTTTATCTCGACGCCGACAGGCGCGACTTTTCTTTGATTTCAGCTTGACTTGCCCGCACCTTCTACTACTTGGCTTCATTAAATAGAAACCACAAGCAGGCCAAGAAGCTGCCATCGCTTGACTTTTGCCTTCCTTGTCTTCTACCACGGATTCTACTGCTCTGCTGCTTTTAGTGGCTCTGGTTTCTTATATTCTCCTTTTTCTTGTTGCTGTTGCTGTTGCTGTTAGACAAATATAATTTCGTTGCGCTCTGACTTTTGTGCCGGAGTCGGCTGACGTTGAAACGCGTAAACGTTGACGATTAACTGCGCCATGAAAATAAAGCAAAATAAAACGATTAGAACCAAATACAGAAAGATATCGCGCAACATGACGTGCGACGAGAGCTTGCGGCGTCCAAGCTCTTGTTTATATTGCTATAGACGTCTAAATATGTCGTCTCCACAGCTTCAACTTCCACTTGGACTTGTGCTGCTGCTCCTGCTCCTGCAGCTGCTGCTACTGCTTGCTATGTGGCACTCAGCCAGTACTGAGCGAGCACTTTAAGTTGCATGCCCCCCCTGCTGTGCATTCAGTGTCTCTCTGTCTCTATTGCTGTTGCTGTCGCTGTCTCTGTCTCTGTGTGGGTAAGCGTGCCTCTCTCTGTCGCCTGCAATGCCTCCAATTCATTGCCCTGAGCTGTGGCGACTGTTGTCGGTGCTGTTGATGTTACTTCTGCTGCTCCAGCAGCGCTTCACAGGGAACTGCAATGGATAAGAGCCAGCATGCTACACTGTTAAAAAACTTTTTCACTTTCAAAATAAAATTAATTTTAAAATGTATGTTACTCGATATAAATTGTTATTAATACAAATGCTTTGACGCTAAATAACTTAAGCAAGGAACCCTTTCTTATCCTCTGAAAAAATAATTGTCTCCATTTAAATACGTTTTTACAAATATTTTACAATTGAAATATTATAAAATTATGTTAACATAAATAAATAATGAGAAAAGAAAAAAAAATATAATTGGATATTTTAGTGTCACCACTTCTTAGACTCAAGAAGAAGACACTGTACACTGACTATTAGAAATCAATTTAATCCCTGCTTTTCAATTCCATGTTCTAAGACAACAGAAAGAGGAAAACGAAGGAAGGAAATCTCTGAAAAATACTACATAATTAGAAATAGCTGGAGCGGTGCTCAAACAAACAATGCACAAATGCACTGCTATTTGATATTAGACGGATATAACGATTTTATTTTAAATAGTTTCGTTAAGCTGTGATGCAACTTTAGATCTGATAAGCATTGCAATTATATACAGTAGTATGCTAGAGATACAGTCAATTACTACTTAACACCAGTTGTATGTATTACTCGTATATAGAACCTGTCGTTATCTACTTAAACAAGCTGGCATTTAATGGATTTCAAGACGTCCAATTCTTCAAATATTTAGCACAAGATCAAAGTTTTTGCGTGTTTTTCCCAAAGTGGAGAGCAGCAGTGTTACAGTTAAAGTTAATTTAAGTTCGTATGTGTGTGTGTGTGGTGGGGTGTGTGTATGTGAGGGTGTGTGAGGGTGCTTGGGAGTGTCAAAATCTCTTGGGTCCCAGTAGACCAACATAAGATGCCATGGAATTTCATTGAAAAATGCCTCAGCCCTTACAGCTATCCGAGGATAAGCGACAATGGACGTTAGCAGGACACAGAGCGCTGGATGCTGGAGGACCGCCGCACATTAAGCTCGACAACTGGCACAACATTGTTCAAATTCCTTACACTTTTATGCTCTGTGCCTGTTATAACATGCGCGAGGATATTTCACAACCATCTACATCCTTTTCTCCCTCCTGTTGCCTGCTAGGCAGACATACAGGCAGTCAGTCAGTAAGTCCGACAGGCAGACAGACAGACAGACAATGCCATTACGCATACGCAGCTTTATCTGCAGTCCAACGAGTTGGGCGCAAAGATTCATCATCGCGAGGAATCAGAACACTCCACACACACACGCACACACACACACACAAACGCTTATCTACTCGTACTTGCACACATGTTGCATAATTGCATTTCATGTTGCAGAGCAGCTGCTGCTCCCATTGTTATGCTAGTTGTTGTTGTAGTTATTATTGCCGCAGCATTTGTATTCACATTTGTGCTGTCTGTTTCCCCCCAATATGTAGTATATTTTTTTTACCATTTCATTCTCGTTATGTGGGCATTAATATGCAAAAAGTTTGTTGCGGGCATAAAAGATGGGGAGCAAACAAAGCGTGCAAATAAATCAAAGCGAATGAAATTTACCAAAGGAAGTGCAAAACAAAAAATAAATAAATAATTAAAATGGGCGTTTGTCATGCAGTGAAATAAATGAATAAAAAGCATGTGTATGCACTGAAGAAAAATACTATTTCAATTAAAGGCACAATAATTGTTTATTTTCAATTAAATTGTCTACAAATGTTCCTAAAAAGAGGCAAGTTGAAACATTTTAAAGAATTGAATGAAATTTGTTATTTTAACTAAAATAAGAGGTAAAGGCTTTTCACATTCATTTGCTTTTTAATTTTGAATTCTGAAAAAGGAAAAGTTTTCGATTAGCTTGCTTCCCCAACATAGCTCGCAACATTAAATGTTGCTGCAAACGGAGATATTGTTGCAAGCAAGAATTTGTAACATTTTCTTGTTGCTGCATTGTTGCTATGACTGTTGCTGGAGATCACAACATTTTCACTCTTAAGCCAATTAGCTAATACAATATTTTCGATGAATTTTAAATCACTTCACGCACACGATAGCCGAAGGAGAATGAGGAATTAAACAGTGGAATATGAAAATATTTGCCTGTGGAAAATTATTAGGTATTTTATTATTCAGGTCTGTTCTCATCTGTGAGCTCCATCTTATTTTTCTCTCTGTCTCTTACACTATGTTTGTATATAAATCGAAATTTTAACAATTGTTCAAACATTGGCGTTAGTATGTAATCGAAGTTGCTTACAAATATTTATGCAGAGTTATCGGTTTCAGTTGAGGAATGCAAAAAAGACATGCAACAATTTCACACTTGTTTAAATTTAATTATTTCTGCTGGAAAATTAAATTAACTTTTTTTAGCAATTTAAGAATGTTACGTTCTTAACCCTGACTGCTTTATTGACCCGCTTAATTAATCATATGGTTTTCAAAGCGGTTTCTGCGTGCATGTTTGCCATTGAAAAATGCAGTTTTTTTTAAACACAAAAAAGGTGACATCAATGGTATTTTTCATTTTCGTTGCTCAATTCAATTCAGAAATTGCAACAATTTGGCTCGGCGCTCCCTCTCAATTAGTGCAAAATATTTTTGAGTCATGTGGCTGACAATTTAATTTAAATTTTGCATAATTAAACTTATTTCCATAGAAAGTTCAGAGCATGTGTGGGGGCCTAGGTTAAACTGTGCACCCATTCAATGTGAATGCAGTGTGGAATGTGGAGCGCGACCCTCGGAACATACACACACACACATACACATGTATGCAGAAAAGCGACTTTCATAAAAGTCAACCACATGCGTGGAAATTCGTTTGAGGGCATTTCAAATAAAAGAGTCATGGTCTAAAAAGGCACGCATGCCTGCACACGGTTATCAACGGATGGCCAAGCGGCAAGTGCCAGTAAGTGTTAGAGCTGGTAATGGTATTGCCATTTCCAATGCCTGCTGCATGTGGTTGACGTTAACGTTGACAGTGCAGGAAACATCGTAGATCAAAAGGCATGCAGTTGGAACCCACACTTTTATTTCTGTAGGCCAACAACGGCCAGGCAGCGCCAACTGGCGCGTATTTGTATAGAAATCCAATTGGCGCTTTGAGCAGCCATCAGAGCCCAGCCACTGCGAGTTTTCAATTAAACGCTTATCATGCCCATTGCACCCCATCGCGAACTAAATGAATTTTCAACCCCAATCACAGTAAACAACATTCGAAAATTTCAATGAAGAAACATGTGGAAAGAATAGTGTTTTGGTTTTTTATTATTTGTGTTGACTAACAGGAGCAGAAATTAAAAACGAATGAAATGAAAATAATAAATAAATAAATTTGCATTACAATAGTAAATTGAAATTGATTATTGTTGAAGCAATTTAATTGAAATTAATTGAATTATTAATTAAAAAATTATATATAACAAAATTATTTATTTAAAACAAACACTTTGAATTTTATTTATTTATTCAGAGCTTCGTGCTAAAAAAATAATTTTGTAACATTTTAAAATTTTTGTAAAAAATGCATGCGTCGTTGTTAAATTGTCAGACACAACCTTAACAATGTTTGTTACATTATGGACTTACAACTCTAATTAATATTACATCCTGTATTTTAGCAATAAGTGCATATTATTAGTTTAAATACTAGTATTAGGAGTTTAAAAAGTATTTGAAAATACAAGTGGAAGATAATTCCATTTTAACCTCAATTCATTTTAAAAGCAGCAATTCACTTGAACCACACATTTCTGCACTGCAATATAATATTCATTTATTAATCGGTAAATGAAACAAAGTTGTTTTCAGCGGAAAATAATAAACTAAATTGCCCGCAAATGCTTTTAAACGTAAAACAAATGATGATGATGATGATGATGAATACATAAATACGAGTATATCTCAATTGATTCAGTTTATAAATCAACATATCCATTAATTAAGGAAAATTCTGTTTTAAACAAAATCAAAGAATACCGGTATTTCGCCACTGTTCGGTGCGGCTCGTTAAAACATTTAGAACACATTGATTGTTTTGGATTTCGCCGTGCGGCATGCAAATAGCCGTCGGGGCCAGCTTTGTAGCAACATCGTACCGTTGGTGCTGCTGAGGCAGAGGGGAACGAAGAAGTAAATGAAACATTGAACGGACCTGAACTTTGAGCCTTGACGCATGTAGCATGTGGAATGTGGCTGAGACTACAATTTTAACAATTTGTTAAAGAGATTTAACGCAAAGCATTATGGGAGGCTGGAAAGGAAGGGAGTGGAATGGAACGGATGTGGGTGGGAAGGGGCGGGGAAGCAGGGAAACAGGCGTGGCTGCCACACACTTTAAAACAAAATGCGAGACGCCCAAGATTATAAAACTCATTAAAAAAGTTTGAGCGCAAAATATTACAAGCATAGGGCCAAATGGAATACGAGGCGGATGCGTGCTCTGCTCCTGTCTACTTAAACAAAGATGGCGAGCAAACTTTTTCACAACTGTAGCGTTAAAAATGCAATAGAGAGCCAAGGCTGCCAGCCAAGAGCCACCAGCCACCAGCCATCAGCCATGGGCCAGAGGCCAGGGGCAGTCAGTCAATGAATGGACACTGATGGCTTTAAGGCGTGTGATTTGTGGAGCGAAAGGCGCGAGTGGCTGCTGAAAAGTTGCTTCAAGTGCTCGGCTTGAATTGTTTGTTGTTTTTGCACTCAGCACATGTTGCCAAATGGCTTTATTAAAATTGTGGCTACTGGCTGCCATGACTTTCGTATTACAATAAGTAACACACGCACGCAAAAATAACAGCAAAAAAATGGCAAATACACACACACACACACACACGCCAACAAGAAAAAAGGTTATGCCAAATAAATACATGCGAAAACATGGCACATGCCTCGTCCTTTGGTCCTTTTGTGGCTGGCAGCATGACTGCGTCTATGATGATGAAAACATTCATAAATCAGACGTCAAAGCAAAGGCAATAACATCAGCTACAACAAAAATAATAACAACAAGAACAAAAGTGCTACGCTCACCCACAACATACATACATACATATGTGAGGGCGAACGTGCAATGTGGCCAACACAGAAGGGTCAAAAGCATTTCGGCTGTACATTCTTCGAAAATAAAATCATGCAGAGCATTGCCCGGTTCGTAAATACATATACAAGTACAAGTATGTATGATGCTTACCCGCCCCAGGCAGTACCGCAATTGAAATGAAGTTGAAAAATATTATGGCTCCTAATAAACAAGAGAGCGTTGTTGTTTTTGTTTAATTTTCAGTAAATAGTGAGGCAAGTCGCTAAGATATGTCTACATGGCAAATATGAGGTTCGCAGCTGTAATTATTTAAAAGATATCAATGTTCATACAGTCGAACATACATGGCATAGATGGGTCGTGCCGTTATACTCTACACAGCCACCTCAGCTTGTTATATGCAATTAACTAGTGGGACAAACAACTAAGATAAATGTACATGCCAAATATGGGGCCCCCAACTATAACGAATTAAAATTTATCGAGGTTCATACAGTCGAACGTACTGACAAACGAACATGCATGGCGTAGATGAGTCTTCCCGACATACTAGCCTCTCCACATCCACCTCAGCTTGTTACATGCAATCAAGATTTCTTACCATAAAATCGACACACTTGACATTTGCATCAAGCACACACACACACACACACACACACAGAGAGTCACTCAGACACACTCATTTACTCACATACTAGGCTGCTTTTTGAAAGAGTTTGAAGCTTCGAACTTTAACGAGTGACGGACGCCCTGTAACTTGTCAAACATTTTCCTTAACACACAAAACATAGAGTTTGTGGCGGGCCATTAATTTCAAAGCCTTGGACCAGAACCAGCAGCAACAACAACAACAACAACAAATACAAAACAAGAACCAACAAAATGCAAATGAAATGTCACAGAAGCGCGCACGTCACTTTTTGCACAATGTGTGCTGGACAGTATGTTTTTAGGGTAGACCTACACTTATGATTAGGGACGCAGCTCGGCAACAATAACAACAAAACGGCAACAGCAGAAGCAACGGTACCAGCTAAAACAACAACAACAACAAAACAGCAACAACTGACAAGCAGGCAACACACGGCGCGCAACAAAAGTCAATGAAGTGTTAAATATCCTGCGGCGTAGACTACAAAATGTGACGTGGCTTGGCATTATCCCTTTTTCGGCACACACACACACACACACATACACATGCACACATATGTACATAAATCTACACACACTCACTCGCTCAAACACATGTTCAGTCATATACTTTTATTTGCATCTGGTTGGGCCAGCGAGCACGGTGTGCTTTGTTTTCATAATACGCAGCCATAAAATAACAGGCGGAACAGACACAACGACACTCATACGGACACAAACACACACATGCAAACACTCGTTTATATAATTATTTGAACACACCTGGGAAAGCTTAAAAATGATTGATTGATTCAATGCTTAATTGCTTGTTTGCTGACAGCTTTAGGAAATATGTTTGTTTTTAAATTAAATCTAAACAAAACTCAGAAACCACACAATTAAACAAACAATATACAATAAGCTAGAAATAAACATATAAAAAATAATATAAGCTTTTTTATATTTTTGTGATTTCTTTTTATTGTAATTGCAGTTAGAACAAAGTAGAAATACAAGTAGGACACAAACAAATAAAAATAATAACGAAGCGCTTACAAAACTACTTTTATAAATGTTTTGTTTAATAAATTAGCAGTCATATTACTCATTTTGAAATATAATTATAAATAAATATAAATTTTTAAAAATACTCTTCACTCGCTGCCACAACCGACATAGGTTAAATAAAAAGTATTTCTATATCTCTCAATATATGCTAATAAAAGAGTTTATATAAAAAAGGTTTTGTAGAACAAAAAATGGGCGATTGCCATGGCATTTAAAATGCATTTACAGCTTACAACAGACATTTTTATTAAATCCTGTATTAATTATTTGACTGTTCAATATTTTATTTTATTCAATATATATGAAATTTTTTAAAAGTTAAGACAACAAAACAAATCAATATTAATAAAAGCAGAGGCTTCAATTGCTGTTAACTCCTCTATGAATTATATGATTTTTTTTATTTTTATTTTTTTTTTTATTCAATGTTTAACAAAATTTTATTAAATGTATGACAACAAATCAACAAAACAAATCAATATTAATAAAAGCAGAGGCTTCAATTTCCGACAACTCCTTTAATTATATGACTTAATTGCATTTTTTTTTATTCTATTCAATATTTATGAAATTTTTAAAAATTTAAGACAACAAAACAAATCAATATTAATAAAAGCAGAGGCTTCAATTGCTGTTAACTCCTCTATTAATTATATGACCTCTTTGATTTTTTTTATTTTATTTAATGTTTAACAAAACTTTATTTTATGACAAGAAATTAAGTTAATATCAATAAAAACAACAACCAAAAATCTTTGGAAAATTTGCACAACAAGTTGCATTTACATTTAACCTTTTCGTTAATCATTCATTTACAACTTATATCAAAGAATGCCAACTATTTAAAGTACTTTGTAAAATTTCTACACCAACATTTTAATTTTCTCACACATGTTGAAAAATCAAAACACTTTTGTCTGCTAATGTGGCTATCAAAGACAAATACACGCACACACGCTCATATAATTAAAGGCAACAATGGCAGCAACTGGCAAACAAAACTCGCGGCATAAATCAGTAGCCGTGCTCGTCAGCGCCAGCGTCTGCGACGCGAGGTCTGCTGTCCTTTTCCTATTCCTTTCCCTGTCCTCAATCCGAGACCAAAATTCATTCACATGTGGCAGAGGCAAGAGATGCGAGCGAGTTAGCGCGCGCATTTCATTCATACATAATACACAAACATAAGCGCACACAAATAGGCCCATTCGTACTGGCATAAGGTAGAAGACATAAGACATTAAGCATCACGTATACGCACCGTGAAACGAAGCGGCCACATGGCGTACCACTGGACAAATGTCTCGCCGGCACGCACTTTTAATGCTGCTACTGCTGTTATTTGAAGCTGTAGACTGAGCGGCACTTAAATTATGTGCTTTGCTTTTATCACGCGCGCGTCGCAGGAAACCTCCTCTCGATTTTCAACCTGGAGCCTCAATTACCGCGGGCAGGCAGACGGCATGGCATCGTAAAATGGTCAGGAATTTCACTAACAAGCGAGCGCGCCTAAACTCTTTATTTTTTGGTTTTTTTTTTAAGCAATACACGTATTAATGCACAACAAAATTTAAATGCGTACCTGACTGCTTTATTGACCCGCTTAATTAATCATATGGTTTTCAAAAGGGTTTCTGCGTGCATGTTTGCCATTGAAAAATGCAGTTTTTTTAAACACAAAAAAGGTGACATCAATGGTATTTTTCATTTTCGTTGCTCAATTCAATTTAGAAATTGCAACAATTTGGCTCGGCGCTCCCTCTCAATTAGTGCAAAATATTTTGAGTCATGTGGCTGACAATTTAATTTAAATTTTGCATAATTAAACTTATTTCCATAGAAAGTTCAGAGCATGTGTGGGGGCCTAGGTTAAACTGTGCACCCATTCAATGTGAATGCAGTGTGGAATGTGGAGCGCGACCCTCGGAACATACACACACACACACACATACACATGTATGCAGAAAAGCGACTTTCATAAAAGTCAACCACATGCGTGGAAATTCGTTTGAGGGCATTTCAAATAAAAGAGTCATGGTCTAAAAAGGCACGCATGCCTGCACACGGTTATCAACGGATGGCCAAGCGGCAAGTGCCAGTAAGTGTTAGAGCTGGTAATGGTATTGCCATTTCCAATGCCTGCTGCATGTGGTTGACGTTAACGTTGACAGTGCAGGAAACATCGTAGATCAAAAGGCATGCAGTTGGAACCCACACTTTTATTTCTGTAGGCCAACAACGGCCAGGCAGCGCCAACTGGCGCGTATTTGTATAGAAATCCAATTGGCGCTTTGAGCAGCCATCAGAGCCCAGCCACTGCGAGTTTTCAATTAAACGCTTATCATGCCCATTGCACCCCATCGCGAACTAAATGAATTTTCAACCCCAATCACAGTAAACAACATTCGAAAATTTCAATGAAGAAACATGTGGAAAGAATAGTGTTTTGGTTTTTTATTATTTGTGTTGACTAACAGGAGCAGAAATTAAAAACGAATGAAATGAAAATAATAAATAAATAAATTTGCATTACAATAGTAAATTGAAATTGATTATTGTTGAAGCAATTTAATTGAAATTAATTGAATTATTAATTAAAAAATTATATATAACAAAATTATTTATTTAAAACAAACACTTTGAATTTTATTTATTTATTCAGAGCTTCGTGCTAAAAAAATAATTTTGTAACATTTTAAAATTTTTGTAAAAAATGCATGCGTCGTTGTTAAATTGTCAGACACAACCTTAACAATGTTTGTTACATTATGGACTTACAACTCTAATTAATATTACATCCTGTATTTTAGCAATAAGTGCATATTATTAGTTTAAATACTAGTATTAGGAGTTTAAAAAGTATTTGAAAATACAAGTGGAAGATAATTCCATTTTAACCTCAATTCATTTTAAAAGCAGCAATTCACTTGAACCACACATTTCTGCACTGCAATATAATATTCATTTATTAATCGGTAAATGAAACAAAGTTGTTTTCAGCGGAAAATAATAAACTAAATTGCCCGCAAATGCTTTTAAACGTAAAACAAATGATGATGATGATGATGATGAATACATAAATACGAGTATATCTCAATTGATTCAGTTTATAAATCAACATATCCATTAATTAAGGAAAATTCTGTTTTAAACAAAATCAAAGAATACCGGTATTTCGCCACTGTTCGGTGCGGCTCGTTAAAACATTTAGAACACATTGATTGTTTTGGATTTCGCCGTGCGGCATGCAAATAGCCGTCGGGGCCAGCTTTGTAGCAACATCGTACCGTTGGTGCTGCTGAGGCAGAGGGGAACGAAGAAGTAAATGAAACATTGAACGGACCTGAACTTTGAGCCTTGACGCATGTAGCATGTGGAATGTGGCTGAGACTACAATTTTAACAATTTGTTAAAGAGATTTAACGCAAAGCATTATGGGAGGCTGGAAAGGAAGGGAGTGGAATGGAACGGATGTGGGTGGGAAGGGGCGGGGAAGCAGGGAAACAGGCGTGGCTGCCACACACTTTAAAACAAAATGCGAGACGCCCAAGATTATAAAACTCATTAAAAAAGTTTGAGCGCAAAATATTACAAGCATAGGGCCAAATGGAATACGAGGCGGATGCGTGCTCTGCTCCTGTCTACTTAAACAAAGATGGCGAGCAAACTTTTTCACAACTGTAGCGTTAAAAATGCAATAGAGAGCCAAGGCTGCCAGCCAAGAGCCACCAGCCACCAGCCATCAGCCATGGGCCAGAGGCCAGGGGCAGTCAGTCAATGAATGGACACTGATGGCTTTAAGGCGTGTGATTTGTGGAGCGAAAGGCGCGAGTGGCTGCTGAAAAGTTGCTTCAAGTGCTCGGCTTGAATTGTTTGTTGTTTTTGCACTCAGCACATGTTGCCAAATGGCTTTATTAAAATTGTGGCTACTGGCTGCCATGACTTTCGTATTACAATAAGTAACACACGCACGCAAAAATAACAGCAAAAAAATGGCAAATACACACACACACACACACACGCCAACAAGAAAAAAGGTTATGCCAAATAAATACATGCGAAAACATGGCACATGCCTCGTCCTTTGGTCCTTTTGTGGCTGGCAGCATGACTGCGTCTATGATGATGAAAACATTCATAAATCAGACGTCAAAGCAAAGGCAATAACATCAGCTACAACAAAAATAATAACAACAAGAACAAAAGTGCTACGCTCACCCACAACATACATACATACATATGTGAGGGCGAACGTGCAATGTGGCCAACACAGAAGGGTCAAAAGCATTTCGGCTGTACATTCTTCGAAAATAAAATCATGCAGAGCATTGCCCGGTTCGTAAATACATATACAAGTACAAGTATGTATGATGCTTACCCGCCCCAGGCAGTACCGCAATTGAAATGAAGTTGAAAAATATTATGGCTCCTAATAAACAAGAGAGCGTTGTTGTTTTTGTTTAATTTTCAGTAAATAGTGAGGCAAGTCGCTAAGATATGTCTACATGGCAAATATGAGGTTCGCAGCTGTAATTATTTAAAAGATATCAATGTTCATACAGTCGAACATACATGGCATAGATGGGTCGTGCCGTTATACTCTACACAGCCACCTCAGCTTGTTATATGCAATTAACTAGTGGGACAAACAACTAAGATAAATGTACATGCCAAATATGGGGCCCCCAACTATAACGAATTAAAATTTATCGAGGTTCATACAGTCGAACGTACTGACAAACGAACATGCATGGCGTAGATGAGTCTTCCCGACATACTAGCCTCTCCACATCCACCTCAGCTTGTTACATGCAATCAAGATTTCTTACCATAAAATCGACACACTTGACATTTGCATCAAGCACACACACACACACACACACACACACAGAGAGAGTCACTCAGACACACTCATTTACTCACATACTAGGCTGCTTTTTGAAAGAGTTTGAAGCTTCGAACTTTAACGAGTGACGGACGCCCTGTAACTTGTCAAACATTTTCCTTAACACACAAAACATAGAGTTTGTGGCGGGCCATTAATTTCAAAGCCTTGGACCAGAACCAGCAGCAACAACAACAACAACAACAAATACAAAACAAGAACCAACAAAATGCAAATGAAATGTCACAGAAGCGCGCACGTCACTTTTTGCACAATGTGTGCTGGACAGTATGTTTTTAGGGTAGACCTACACTTATGATTAGGGACGCAGCTCGGCAACAATAACAACAAAACGGCAACAGCAGAAGCAACGGTACCAGCTAAAACAACAACAACAACAAAACAGCAACAACTGACAAGCAGGCAACACACGGCGCGCAACAAAAGTCAATGAAGTGTTAAATATCCTGCGGCGTAGACTACAAAATGTGACGTGGCTTGGCATTATCCCTTTTTCGGCACACACACACACACACACATACACATGCACACATATGTACATAAATCTACACACACTCACTCGCTCAAACACATGTTCAGTCATATACTTTTATTTGCATCTGGTTGGGCCAGCGAGCACGGTGTGCTTTGTTTTCATAATACGCAGCCATAAAATAACAGGCGGAACAGACACAACGACACTCATACGGACACAAACACACACATGCAAACACTCGTTTATATAATTATTTGAACACACCTGGGAAAGCTTAAAAATGATTGATTGATTCAATGCTTAATTGCTTGTTTGCTGACAGCTTTAGGAAATATGTTTGTTTTTAAATTAAATCTAAACAAAACTCAGAAACCACACAATTAAACAAACAATATACAATAAGCTAGAAATAAACATATAAAAAATAATATAAGCTTTTTTATATTTTTGTGATTTCTTTTTATTGTAATTGCAGTTAGAACAAAGTAGAAATACAAGTAGGACACAAACAAATAAAAATAATAACGAAGCGCTTACAAAACTACTTTTATAAATGTTTTGTTTAATAAATTAGCAGTCATATTACTCATTTTGAAATATAATTATAAATAAATATAAATTTTTAAAAATACTCTTCACTCGCTGCCACAACCGACATAGGTTAAATAAAAAGTATTTCTATATCTCTCAATATATGCTAATAAAAGAGTTTATATAAAAAAGGTTTTGTAGAACAAAAAATGGGCGATTGCCATGGCATTTAAAATGCATTTACAGCTTACAACAGACATTTTTATTAAATCCTGTATTAATTATTTGACTGTTCAATATTTTATTTTATTCAATATATATGAAATTTTTTAAAAGTTAAGACAACAAAACAAATCAATATTAATAAAAGCAGAGGCTTCAATTGCTGTTAACTCCTCTATGAATTATATGATTTTTTTTATTTTTATTTTTTTTTTTATTCAATGTTTAACAAAATTTTATTAAATGTATGACAACAAATCAACAAAACAAATCAATATTAATAAAAGCAGAGGCTTCAATTTCCGACAACTCCTTTAATTATATGACTTAATTGCATTTTTTTTTATTCTATTCAATATTTATGAAATTTTTAAAAATTTAAGACAACAAAACAAATCAATATTAATAAAAGCAGAGGCTTCAATTGCTGTTAACTCCTCTATTAATTATATGACCTCTTTGATTTTTTTTATTTTATTTAATGTTTAACAAAACTTTATTTTATGACAAGAAATTAAGTTAATATCAATAAAAACAACAACCAAAAATCTTTGGAAAATTTGCACAACAAGTTGCATTTACATTTAACCTTTTCGTTAATCATTCATTTACAACTTATATCAAAGAATGCCAACTATTTAAAGTACTTTGTAAAATTTCTACACCAACATTTTAATTTTCTCACACATGTTGAAAAATCAAAACACTTTTGTCTGCTAATGTGGCTATCAAAGACAAATACACGCACACACGCTCATATAATTAAAGGCAACAATGGCAGCAACTGGCAAACAAAACTCGCGGCATAAATCAGTAGCCGTGCTCGTCAGCGCCAGCGTCTGCGACGCGAGGTCTGCTGTCCTTTTCCTATTCCTTTCCCTGTCCTCAATCCGAGACCAAAATTCATTCACATGTGGCAGAGGCAAGAGATGCGAGCGAGTTAGCGCGCGCATTTCATTCATACATAATACACAAACATAAGCGCACACAAATAGGCCCATTCGTACTGGCATAAGGTAGAAGACATAAGACATTAAGCATCACGTATACGCACCGTGAAACGAAGCGGCCACATGGCGTACCACTGGACAAATGTCTCGCCGGCACGCACTTTTAATGCTGCTACTGCTGTTATTTGAAGCTGTAGACTGAGCGGCACTTAAATTATGTGCTTTGCTTTTATCACGCGCGCGTCGCAGGAAACCTCCTCTCGATTTTCAACCTGGAGCCTCAATTACCGCGGGCAGGCAGACGGCATGGCATCGTAAAATGGTCAGGAATTTCACTAACAAGCGAGCGCGCCTAAACTCTTTATTTTTTGGTTTTTTTTTTAAGCAATACACGTATTAATGCACAACAAAATTTAAATGCGTACCAGGCGGCGTATGCGTAATATTCAGCACTGAGTAGACTGTAGAGTTCGTACCGCGTATACGCACCGTTCGCTTCAGCGTCGCTGTCGCTTCTGCTGCTCGTTTGGCGGCTGCCATCGCATTTTATAGTCCTGCATTCGGCACTCCGATATTCGGGACTGGCTGCGTTCGGCTGCGCGCATTCGTCCTGTCGGCAATGTTTGTTGGCATTTTTCACTTGTTTGCCTGCCGGCAGGCGGGATGCCGTCCTTTAAGAAACCTCACAATTGCCGCCTCATGCGATATATACTTTTACACTTTTGTGTGTCAATAGTTTGCATGCGGAAATTGCTGTCGAGCAACGCTTAAGTCCTGCTATTCTTGTTGTTATCCTTTGCTAAATTTTGGCAACGGGCGTCGCACAACGCCCAAAATTTCATTCAATTTTGATTTTACTATATAAACGCAAACTAAATCGTTGAAGTTAAAATTGTATGCGTTGTAGCGTTGGAAAGCTTCATTAAGATGATGGATGGAAGTTCTTTAGAAGAATTTAAATCCATAATTAAACATTTTAAGGGATTTTACAATGTGAACATAATCCCTAATAGATATAGACATACACATCTGTCGCATGCATTGCAAGCTTAATTGTTAAGGCCAGCAAATGAGAAGGGGAATGAGATGTGTAGTGATAGGATATTATGTAGAGTAATAATTAATAAGTCTGACATATTTCTATACATTTGATAACTTTTCTTAACACGAAATTGACATTTTAAACATACAAAATGGCAGAAAAGTATAATCGCTTATCATTTTACTATTAACGAGTAATATTAAATGAATAGTTTCCACTTTTTTTTAAAGAAATATTCGTTTTAGTTAAAACAATGAAATATAAATGGCCAGTGTTTATTAAATAGAAACAAAAAGTGAATCATTCTGCCAACAAATCTAACAAAGCTAACTAAATTATGACATAAATCGGCCACTGATTGACTGCTGACATAATGCAATGGAAAGTTTAGTATTAAGCTTAAATTAAATTAAATTGTCAATTAAATGCAAGCATGTATTTATTTGAACTCATCTTCTACATTGAAGCCAAAAACAGAATTTGTTAAAAGTGTTGATATCTTTGTGCCCTAGAAAACCATTGTTTAATATTTTCTTCGATAAAATACAACTTAAAGGACAATCAATAAGTGTAGCCATCAGTTTTAGTACTCAAAGTCTTCTCCAAGCCCTTAAAATAGTGAAACTAGACCTGATCTAACTAAACCAATTATGGAAGTAAATTATTTTTTTATTTTTAGAAATCCTTTAAATGCACATAATGCTCAAATGAATATAACTATTACTGTCAGCAAATGATTTATTCTTTACCTTCAACACCAGTCGTATACGTTGCAAAACAAGTCTACAGCTTTATTGCAATCGTTTGTGGAATTGATTTGTTTGAATATAAATCGGAAAAGGACACGTCGTTAAATTGAAAATATAAAAAGTCAATTTGCAATTGGCAATTCGTTCAAATAAACTGCTTGACGTCAAGTCGACTGGCTTAGAGCCAATTATGCATGTACTTTGAAGGGTCAAAGCAAAGAAATGCATTGACTTTTTAGTATATTTTGCTCTACCTGTCAGTGACTGTTAGGTGTGGTTGCGAGAAGCTGGAAAAATATTGCTTAAATTATTTGCAAAAGCCAATTTATGCGTGTATATAGAGTTTGATAAATCGAATATGCTTACAAAGTATAAGAATCCCTCCTCTTAACACACAATGGGACATTGGAAACAGTCTTGCAATACAATCCTTATTGAAAATGTCGCTTGGACCAAGACAGACCTCTCTAGTTTCAGTTGGCTTCAGAGTGGCAATACAAAGCGATGCAATAAACGACCGACAGTGCTGCCTAACTTGTACTCAGCTACTTAATTATTGTGCATATAACTTGGAATATACTATTTTATTCAGTTTTCTTCACTGCACACTAGCCTTTTGTTTGCATTATCTAGTCTAGTTTCTAGTATCTGAAGGTTACTACTAAAGAGGCATGTAGTACTTAATTACCACTGAGTTCGTCAGGCATTTTGGTTGCGTACTTGAAATCAATTTAATTTTTTTAATTTTATTTGTTTTATTCAATTTGTATTCAACTTTTAGCGAAATTATATGATTTGTATTGCAATTTAAGTTCACAGCATGAAGCGTAATGTTATGTTGAAAAGTTTGTTTGTTAAGTTTGTTGTTGTTTGAATTAAAAAATGTAAAATTTAACAAGCAACTACACAGTTTTGTGTCCTTTTTGTATTGCGAAAAACAGCGGAACAAAAAACCAGCAGAACAAACAATAAAATGTAACAACTAGTTACAAGAAAAAGTGTGTATTCACTAAAAAATATTCAAATATTCAATTATAGCAATTGTTTGTCTTAGCAAAAAAAATTGATGAATTGCAGCTTCTATTGATTAAATTTGAGTTTTAAATTTTGCCATAATTACATGTATATTATTGTCGGAAATGCATTGTTATTCGTTTTTATTCACAACAACCTAAGAATTCTTGTCATTCTCACAAACTACTACTACTACCTCGCATCAAAGCTATAAAAAGATAAAAGTAGGTTTTATTAAGCCTACTAACTTCTCTTCAATGCTTAGAATTTTCTTTTCCATCCATGGCAATTTTTAGCCACTGCTTTCATTCATATGCATATGCATGACTTAAATAATTATAGATATTATATATTATTTGCAAACTCTAAATGTAGCCTCCCTTTTTAAGCACCAGCTTCTTTTAATTCTAAGCACCACATTTCCACACTGACTTGTCTGGTGTTGCTGCGTTCTTTTTTTCAATTTGCTTCGAGCGCCTTGCACAACTCAGGGCTCGTTAACATCAGTCGAACAATTGAAGCTCAGCTAAATGAATGCAAATTATTTATTGTCTGCTCCGATATCGACTTGTAGGCGCATTCAAGTGCCTACTTACCGATTCTATTTTGGTATTCCACTAAGCATTGTGTCTATTTTAGTACCAAGTATTGAAAGCAAAAACCAATTGATATTTTTATCGTGTTCCCTCCTTCTTTGCATTGCCGACGCGTCTGCTTTGCCAATGTTTATTGACCAACTTACTGTTCAACATTCTTAGCATTTTTCGCAGACAAACGTCTGGTAGCCAAACAATATCACATGCATTTATACTCCTACAATGTTCATGTGTGCGAATACAGTTTAATAAATAAATACTTCTGGCAGGAAGAAGCTGAAAGAAATTGATTTTGTTGCCGTAAAAAGCAAGAAAATATACAAGTAATATAGGTTTGAGCATTAAATATATAAGCAGATTTTATTTGATATTTGTCCTATTTTTGATTTATTTTCATCTTCAAAAAGGGTCCTTCAACGCATCAATACTGCAACTTGAAGCCTAAAAGTATGCTCTTATTAATTGCGAGCTTGTTAAGTTTTGAATCGTTCTGAAATTATGTTTTGTTTTTTATAACAGGAAATACAATTTGAAAATAATAATAGGCCAGAGTCATTAGGAAAAATGTAAACGAAAAAGTGCAAATGGTAAAATTTGGGACCCTTGTCTACTTAATTAACGACTCCTTTAACTTATTATGCATAGCTATTGCCTTATTTGCTATTCAGAAAGTGTCTGATATCAATGCTGAGTCTAAAGAACTTAGTATCTTAAGTTATATTACTACTATACATTACTAAGTTTACAAAGAAAGAAGAGGAGAATTTTCACATCGAGATGTACGGAATTTGTTTCCTGACATTGTGAAGAAAAGGAAGACCAGCAGTCAGTTAAGTCGTGATAAAGAAGCAGTTATCGGCAGTTATCAGCAGAAGCACATGTTTTTGTTGTTATCAATATTATATTAAAATATTGCATACAATTTGCATACTGAATATTTACAGTAACATAGTTAGTTTACAATTCATAATTATTTATATATTGATTCGGATTTAATTTAATAATTTGCACATTTATTATTTATCGACCTTTGTTGCCAATTTTGAACAAAAACACTACTTTCAGTGCAATACCCTGTTTCTTTGATTCCATAGGTAGGACTTTCTGTGGTTTTTTATTTAATTTTAGAGTATATTTACGTACACAGGTAGATAAGAATTTTAGTTGCCGCATTGGTGCATAAGCAATTACTTTTACTAAAAGTCTTTTAGCATTTTTCAACCTATAGTCTTGCATATCCATAATTATATTTGTTCCAGCCCATCCACATGTGCCCAAAATTTCTGGCTGCACACGAAAATCTGCACAACAGCCTCTAACCACAAAAGGTAATTGTCTGTATTTTGGCGAACGAAGCGAACAAGCCATGTTGATATGCGGCCCACATCATAATGCAAACATTTAATTTGTCGAGCCGTCCCAGCCCCAACCCCCTGAAAATATTGACACTCCACTAAGCCGCAATCCAAACAGCAACAGCGCATACCGGGCTGACCAAAATTGTCGTTGACACTTTGCCGATCAAGATAATAAGTGGGCGGCTAGGATAATGGTAGGTGGTTGGTTGGGTGGCTCCCATGTAGCCCGTCCAACAACAACTCTGGCTCTATGGCTGGTTAGCTGATGATGGCAATCATGTCGCTGAATCCAATCAAGATGGCGTCGTCTGTTGTGTTCGGCTGCCAGCCTGCCTGCGTGGCTGAACCGCCTGCCTGGCTCTGGCCCTGGCTCTCTCACTGACGTGTTTTGCTTTGGGTCGTCAGTTGGTGTGACAAGCGGCACTTAGACGATATAGGCACACTGCAAGAAATGAAGTGTTCATTAACATTACAGTAAACATGAAAAGTTTTAAAACGGGTTTCAATTCCAAATAACTTGGAGGTGAATAAGTTCCTTTTTCTAGAACTCGCAGAACTCTCTTTGCGTTTAATTCGGAAAGCGCGAAAGTAGTCTTAGACTTTAAACATAAATTGTTGGTTTAAGTGTAGGGTCTGAACAAACAGAGAGCCGCACACACACACACACACACTTGGCAGCTCAGTTCAGTTCAGTTTGTTATTATTTAAATCAGGAA